TCAGTAGACCCGCGGAAAAAAATTCAAATAATAATATTCGAATTTCAAACACGAACAAGTATTCTAATAACAGCGTTAAAAACATTTTTCAAATATTCGATTTTAAGATTCTAGCATTTTAAACCTCGATCATGTATTTAAATAAATATTTTCTACCAATACTTTACAAGATTATGAGTCTTGTTCAGTGGAAGTGTATGTTATTAGGTGCATAATTAATATCACCCATATATGTATTGCAGTGCCGGTGAACGGATACCCAAATCGGACACCCAAAACAACTATTTATGTATTAACTACTGTAGTGTGCTGCTCTATGGTGAAAAATGCACGGTGGGTAACAAGAAATAATTCCCCTCCCGCACGATGACATTTTTGTTCGGCGCCACTGGTGTATTGTACAGTTCGTGACACGGATAGAACTTTCGGATGGCAAATCGGACGGAATATAACGACGAGCGGAGTGCATTTATTACGCGCACGTGGAGCACACGAACGGAAAGACAACGCTCGCGTGTGCAGCGTACCGTACGATCGACGTCCAACTGTATGATTTGAGTTAACGAAAAAAAAATCAAATAAAATTATGGCGAAAATCAGACAACGTCTCACCGTACGAATCAAATATGCGCCACGACGATTGTTTTCCTACGCGGCTTCCAGGCGTTATACAATAATATCCTGTGCACCCGTTATCGATGTATCGTATCGTTCGTGGAAATCGGTTACGCGAAGACTCCCGGACGGCCGCACAAGTACTCGGACCGCTGGCGGATCTACGGGGGTGGATATGGGGGATAGATCCACACATAAACTAAGACATACTAACATACACTAGTAAACATTAGTATCTAACTTCATATCAGATTATGGGTATACACCTCGTACTATATATATATATATATATATATATACATACTATATATATTTACCCTCGACCCGGGATACAGCCATAGAGTTAGTATGGCACAGTCATCAAAAAGATTAAATTTTATTTTGTAAATTCAGTAGAATAAAGCTTATCATACCAATACATATTATGTACGAAAATATTTTATATCCTCCCCCATGATAAAATCTTAGATCCGCCACTGACTGGGACACGACCGACCGCGCTCGATGCACCGTTAACCATATTATTTCGGTGCGGGTTGCAATATCGGAGACCAGTGGGAAACGCGGCGGCTATTACATGCATGCGCACCCCGAACACGGGGAAGATCATTGACAACGTAATTTCGTTGTAATATAATATTGTGTACGCCGTCGTCGAGACAGTGTTGCGGAGAAATTATTACCGTTGGCCCGAAGACGCGAATGTGTGTGTGTTTGCGCTCGCCCGGAGAATTAACGTGGAATTAATTGCGTGAATTGTAGTGCCGTGTAATAGAGTTACTGCGTTTCGCATGTAAATTCAATTTATGAACTGTGCGCCGCGTAAATACGTATAGGCGCCGTGCGTTCGGAGTATTTCGAATTTTACTCGACACACGAACATCAACAGTGAACCGTTTGAAGGCTGCCGACCAATCGTAACGGTTTTAAAAACGTTTCTACCTCCGGCAACCTCGTCGTGTACATTAGACGCTCTCTGAAGCGTTCTTCGTGTAGCGTCAACGTTTTTTCCTCTCTCATTATTATTGTTGTTGTTAAATCATGAACAGTTAACTTTTAACAATTCGAAATCATAATATTCTTTAAGTTAATCCACCTGTGTATTAGATTTTAATGAAAGTTCACTAAAAGAAAACGAGCCTATGGTCAACTATCGTTAAACAGAAAAATAAAATCGGGAAATTATACGTATTCGTTTTGTAATATAATTGTTGGTAATTCTAATTACTATTTATTTTTTTTCAGTCTTAGTATTTTTAAAGTAAATAAATAAATATATAAACGGTCAAGTGTGTAAAAAAAAAGAACGTTGATCTATATTATTTACACACTGAAGAGTATGCTGTAGGACTTGAATTAGTCAAGTACAATAGTGAAACAGAGTAGTTGCATTAATTTGATGTAAAAAAAAAAAAACTCGTTATATGATCTCAACACGAATAAAAAAAATTTGCAATGGTGTTTATGAAAAACCGTATTTTAGTTGTTTAAAAAATAAGAGACCAAAATTACCATGCCTTAAGAAAAAAAAGTAATTTGTTTGCATTAGAGTTTGTCTACTTACGAGCAACTTTTTTGCAATGGGTATTTAGCCAAATGATTAGGGCATTTTGATACTATGAGACATTTTTGTGATGAAAGTAAAATATAATAGTGTTATCCTGACTTTTGAGCATAGTAAAAATCTTGTTCAAATAAAACTTTTGAAACTTTTTCCGAGTAAAAATGTTGCACTTCGTAATTAATAATTTGAATTACATAACATAACAAGATTTAAAATAAAATTATGAAGTATGCATACAATTATTCGGTAAACGTTAAAGACGTTTAGACGAATTAAAATCGAAAATTTTCAATATACATTTCCGTTTTTTCCGACTGTTATTATTTTTTAATGACCTCATAATATTTAATGTCCGTTTGTTTATAGTTTACAACAAATAGTAATGCCTCTTTTTTCATAATATATAATGTTTTTTTTTTGTTTAATTTGCTTTTATTTAAAAAAAAAAAACATCACAGCGATATATAGTAAGTTATGATATTACATATTATCATCGGACATCGGTATGATGAGCATCTTTTTTTTAGATTGCATCCCTACTCAACAAACTTTTTATATCTTAGTATTAAATTATTTAAATTATTTTTTATTATTATTTTATTATGCTTCTTAATACCTTTTATTTTATTTTCATTTTTTTATGGCAATCTCATTTTAGCACAACTTCAAATAGAGCAGAGTTTTGAATTTAAATTTCCGCTTATGGTTTATTTAACGTATCTTTATTTCAACGGAATTCATTATTTCGACTCCATTGCCTCTAAATAAAAAAAAAAAATTAAAAAAAGGAAAAATGAGAAACCCGATAGAAACGAGTATCGAGAGTACAGCAGTGGTGAGCGGTGATATAACTGAACGTTTGCGAGCTACTTACTCGACTTACTTACGCATGACTGACCACAAACTTTCATGTCTAACGAACGGTTATTTGATCGACGGACTGTAATCCTTATAGCAGACAAATCATCAGACTATTCGGAATTAACTACCACGCGATACAAAATGTTAGGACCTTAATGGTTCGTGGTTATACACAGCAGCTTAGATTTACCTCTGTTGGGCCTATAAAGATCTATTATATATACCAATGCATACTGATAGATTAAAGGGGTAGATTCTATATTTCACGATTCGGCACGTTTTTTCGCGATTAGTGACCACCGTCCTAATCGATTTTGAGCTCTAAAGAACAATATGCTCACTTGCCGTATTCTAGAGTGATAGAGTGATATGCTTTACTTTCTATATCGTATTAATTATAATTGTTGATAAAAATCATATTCAAGTATTGAAAGTGGTCTTGTTGTTCAAAACTACTATGATGCGTTATTATTTTAATTATTTTAAATGTAACATTTGTGTTTTTATTATTAACCTAAGGAACTGAATCTTATAGATACCGATTATTGATCGAATTAAGAACAATTTTGTTTAAAAGATAAAAAATCTGCACACATATGCGAATAAAATATAATACATAAATAATACATCATACGCGATTTACTATTTATCATTTACAATCGGAGCATTATAAATATTGACTTGATTATACAGGTTATACATAAATTATAAACAAAATATAGAGTCCTTAATGTTCAAGATCCTTGAGCCTTGTGCTCAGTGGTGTCACTCGTCGCATCGTCGTTATTTAACGATGAATCGTAAGTTTATTAAAAGTACATATATGATCACAAATCTCAACGTCAAGTTACATTGTATCAGAATCTTATAGTCTGTGCCAGTATAATGAAAATGAAAATTAACGTTTATTAGTAAAAATGTTACATAATTTATTTGTACATACACGCTATGGCAAACCATTAATAACAAGTATCATATCGTATAATATTATTAATAACTATTTTCCGGTTTGTTAGATACCATTAATACCTACACATAGGTGCACACGAGTTAGGCAGCAGCACAGGTTTGGTAAATTGTGTCCCATAAATAAAATATTAATACACAGATAGGTGAATTACGGCTCGGATATTTTTTTCAAGGGTGAATTGCGTCCCCGATATTTTTTTCATGTAGGTGAATTGCATCCCCTCTAATCGTTCTAAACAATGCAACAAAACTGAAAATAGCGCCTTAATTCTTATTTCAATAACTTATCGGAGTACACAAATCATAAATAATAATTTGCGACGTCTCGTTTGTGGGAGCACCGAGTGACAGACTCACGAAGCATTGGTCGGAGCACAAAAAATATTTTTAGATACTAACGTCTTTTTCTTTTTTTTTTTAATTCATTACCTTATACTAATTGGACTAAGGGCAATGAAAATTAATTTATATTTATTTATATTATTTATTAATTGTAAAAGATCTTCATCATTATTGATAATGAAAATCTTCTACATATTTTATACGTCTTATTTGATCCGGTCATATCCTGTCTACGTAAAGTGCCGATAAAAAAATGTACTTAAGCTCTCCAATGAACCTTAAAATATAATAAGTATTAATTAAATGTAAAAATATAGTTGTTTTAACTTACTATAAAAAAAAATAAAAAAAAAATTAAAAAAAACCCCAATATTTTTGATAATACGGGGTCGAATTAAAAATAAATAAATGTCAAATTTGTGTTCGTAACCCTCAAAAACGTATATTTTAGCGTACCCAATAGTGATTTCAAATATAATGAGAGGTTGACGTTTATTTAGAAAGGCTAAAATCACTTTCCAGACCACTGTGCGACGCCTCAGTACGGATACGGGCGAACAGGCCAACGGACAGATCAACTTTCATTGTGTTCACGTCGAACGTGAACGTGAACGTACATTGTACTATGTATTACCATGGCGGACCTTACCAGTTTGTTTCCACTGCTGGAACTTGCAGTATAGGAAGCACAAGCAAACGCATGCGGCGCAGGACAGCGCGAGCGTGGACAGTATGGCGTTGATCCAGACGTCGTTGATGACGATTTCGTCGTACATGAGCCGGCCGTGCACGTTGACGGCGCGATGAGTCCCGTTGCGCTGGCCGTTGCGCGTCATCGCGGCCGTGGCCGTGGCCGCGGCGGCGATCGTCTGCGCCGCGGCCGTAGAGGTGGTGGCAGCGGCAGACGCTAACAGTGTCGGGTCCATGGCTCGCGCGGTGACTCTGTGGTGTGCTGAACGGCGTCCAAGGTTTACGTCATAAAACGCGTGCGTGCGCGAGATTCCTCCTCCGTCGGCGGACCTGTGCAAAAATCGCAAGACGTCATTTTCGGGTCATTTATTTGGTTTTTATTTCGCGAAATCCCCCTACGCCTTCAAAAAAAAAAAAAAAAAAAAAACTACAACCACAACCACCACCGAAAACACGCGTATAAAGGTCAAGAGTGTTATAAAGGGAGTGGGTGGGTGAGAGTGCTGGAATTATCGTACTTCCGATTCGCGTTTCTTGTCGAAACGAAACCGTGCGAAACCATCACGTTCGAAATACGATCCCGTGCGGAGGTCCTGTGCTGTTCACACCAGACGGAAAAAATTATATAAAATTATATAAAAATCATTATAGACGTTAAAACATTTATTACATTAGATGTGTTTGGATTGTATCTTTTTACAATAATGACTGTGGAATTCGTATTATTTCTATTATCGAGAAGCCAAACACTCCCGTGGCGATCGTCGGCAGTAATTCTGTTGAAATTGCATTTTTTTTTCTTTTTACTACAATTTGTACGAGAAGAGTTATCTTTTTTTCCGTTCTACGATTTATAATTTTTCAATTAGATGGATTGTCCAATATCGTTTTACTTTTAATGATGCCTTATAGGAAACGTAAGGGTTAAGAGTTCATAAATTAGAAAAATAGAGCTGACATGATAGATTTTGTAACGAATTACGATGGTTTGTTTTACCGCAATCCTGGTGAATGGCTTCATTAACGATGTGCGATGGATCATATGACGAACACATCAGCTCTTATAGGTTCGAGTGTTTGAATTCCATTTATATTTGACATTTTATACCAGAGATCGATTTCATATGCTCACATGGCCTGTTAAAGGACTTGAAAGTTGGATAGTAAAATATATCTTATATGTATTTGTTGACTGGAATATATTGCGCAATAAAAAAAAATTATAAACGTTTGTGTTAAAACTTTTCGTATCTAAAAACATAAAATCTAGTCATTATTTTATACTACACACTTATGAAGACTAAAATGATCATTTATATTTGTAAAAATACCCTGTCTTTAACATGTTGTGTAATTAGTAAACATATTGATTCTGTTCAATTTAAATTTATTGATATTACTAGTGAAAATTCCAAGCTACAATGTATATAATCAGTAATTTAGTTATTATATCAATATAAATATAAACAAGCAATTTTATGTTTTTTTTCAAGAAAAAACTTTTTTACGAATTAGATTTGTACCGTAAAACCAAATGAAAAATACACAAGTCGATTACAAATTACGCCATTTGTATCAAATTACTTTTGTCCAACTTTATAATCATATAATCGATGCGCACACGAGTGTATTCTAGTGTCAAGTTAGTATTCTTTAATAGCATTTGTCTCAGATAAAAATTATTTTTTAAGAAACACATTCTATTAAATTATGGTTTAAAATTAAAATTTCAACGTTAGTATCGTGTTAGGGACGAAACTATTATGCTTTAAGAATTACAAACGTAAGTTTAAAAATATTAAAATAAAAAGATTGAATAAAAACGTCAAGTTTAAAATACATACTTTATTTATATATTTTAACTATGTTTTTATTTTTTTATTTATCCATAGTTTAATGATAGCAATAAAAAAATAAATATAATCGTATGTACCTGTTAAGTATTTTATATTTCAATTATCTACTTGGTCGTCACTTAGACCATATTTTAGAAGAAAACAACACGTTTGGGCACATTCACCCTAAACAGTTATATGGATTTCATTCTATAATTTTGCATATTATACTAATTCCGAGCTTATTAGAGTTATCTAGAGCATACCAAAAGTAAGTTGGCTCAAAGTTTTCCAAAAATATTTAAAAATGTATTTATATATATTTAAACGTCATATTTTTATTTTAGTATGTACTGTTTTTGATTTCTGATATATTCGACTTATTTTTATGTAATTATTTAATTTAATTTTGACGCAAAATGTGTTCCTAATTTTTGTATACATTTTATTCTTTCTTCAATTTCTTTTCTTAATTGTTTTTTTTCAATTGATCCCTCTTGAATTGCTATCATTACATTGATAACATTTTGAAGATTTGAATGATGTTTATAAGACTATTGGTAATAATTTAAATAGGAAGATTCCAAGCCATTAATTGTTTTGGGTATTAAAATTGCTCTTTAGCCCAAATTAAAAGTGGAAATTGTGAATCTTTTGATGCATAGCTGTCAAGTATATAATCAGCAAAATGTTTCACATCGGGTAGTGATATAAAAAACAAATTATTATTATCTACATAACATATGTGATTTTATTATATTGATTTCTTTATGGTACCGTTCATTTATTTCAAATTTGTAGACTGTATGTACCATAAGTAGTTTTATTTTGGACAAGACTTTCAATTCGATTACTTTCACATACTACATGTACCGTTCAAAACAGCTCAATGGCTTATTTTATTAAACATAAATTATGTTTATTTTGGTCCTTAAAAGCATTTGAAAATATTTTCTGATGACCATTTTTAAACTATTTGAGGAAACGAACAAGAGTTGTATTTAGTTGTTTAATGCAAAATAAAATGAATCAAATTATTCGGACTGTCTATTTTTTCTCATACATACTTATATTTTTTCATTTATACAAAGATTTTTTCAAATTTATTCGAGTAATAAAAGTATAATGAAAAAAAAATACGTGACCCATTTAAAAATGAAATAAAATAATGTATATTTCCCAACTTAAAATTTATAATATAATTATTTTATTTTAGTACGTAACTTTATATTCCTATTTTTTTTTTATTATTGAGTTTGGCTTACGAAAAATAATTTGTGATGCTTAAAATGCAATGGTTTCTATGAGTTTATATGAGTTAATAAATTTAATTTAATTAATTTTTTATTTAAAAATTTAACGGGAAATATTTTTCCAGAAAGTATAACGGCTATAAATTTGATATTTAACAATTATCAACCAGGATTAGTTCAGCAGCTACCAACATAAAAATTATTTGTCTAACTAGTTATCTAGGTATTTATATTTTGAGTGTATTTGGAAGCAATGAAAAGCTATCACACTTATGAAAAGATTCTGAGCAGAAAAAAACAGGCACTGAATATTATCTGAAAGATTATTGTCCAACGTTTTTTTGACATTTAAAACCAAAATAAAAATATATTTGTTTTGCACACAATTTTCCTCCCTTAAACTAAAATATTAATTATTTTATCTATGGGAATATTAAACACGTTTGTTTAAGTAATTTATTATTACACATCGTATTTTGTTATATTTTCTACTTCGTCCAGATAAACTTTAGTGAAAATTGTAAAACAACCTGTCTAAGCTACGTTTCATGTCCAATTTCTTATCTAAAAAAAAAAATATATATATATATATATGGTGCATACTAGGTACAAATAAATTCTATAAAGCGTGTCCTAATGTGTTTTCATAAATGCGCCCAAACATGTTACGCCCATTTTAGAACAAAAAAAAAAAAAAGAATAAAATATTTAAAAAATATTTATTTATAATATTTCACTATGTACATACGAGTACTCTACTGAATAAATTAACTGAGGCTTATAATAACTTAATCTATGAAGAAACAACTTAACTCTAGTTATATACGTGTACTCAAATGTGCTGAAATGTCCAATATGCATATAATTATTTAAAATTGAGTACAATTGATAATAAATTGACACAAAAGAATTATAAATAAAATAATACATAAAAATAAAATGTAAAAAAATGCTACAAAAACTTTTTTATTGAAACTTTGTGATGCATTAATCAAAATATATTTTTGATCATCTCTCTGGAGTATTATGAAAAACAATATGAATGCTATAAATTCCTAGCTCTATTTATAATGTAACACATTTTCAGTTATCAATGTGCATAGGTACGTTTTTTAGATTCTGAGTAAGATAAGGGATGTATTGGTTTTACCATGGTGAAGTTTTAAAAACAATACAACATTATTATCTACTCACCCCCTGTATTTTACCTGAGCTACGATTTTCATCCTTTTTTAAAGTCCAAACATTCGATACATTTTTGAAAAAGTTTCAACATTTTTTTTATAATTTTTCCGAATTGTGAGATATCCACCAAAGTGTTCCTATAATTAGTTAATAAACAAACATTGAAATAGCAAGTTTTAAAACTCGAAATTATTCGAATTTTATTTTGCCAACAGAAATGCAAATCAAACACTTTAAGTTTATATAGGAAAAAAAATGTATATATTTATATATATAAGAACCTCAGTGCTAAATCAAAATACTCGTAAAATAAATAATAAAAAATTAGTTTCGTCAAAAATATATGTATAACTGAGTCTTAAATTATATGTATACAATTTCTTTCTTATTTCCTGTATTATTGTGTTTTATATATTATTATCTTTCCTTTTTTTTTTGTTTTGTTATCTTACCGGAAAAAATTGGAAAAACGTTGAAACGGTTTCTGTAGGTAGATGCGGTACATAGTATACACGCGTAATAAGTAAATACAAATGCAAGCATACCATTTTAAAATCAATACATTTCTCATTTAGCTCACTGTGCATGTATTGGGTAACACCAAAGTCATTCGATGCGCCTGAGACTTACAAATACAATTTTGCACCGGACGTTTTCTTCGACACATTACGCGAATAACTATAAAACGCGAAATCGCGATGTGTCATTAACAGACATTTGCCCGCAAGAAAAATAACTTTTCAATTTTACAATCTAATTCCGCACGGTTTTATTCGGTCTTTTAAATTCAGTATCGGTCCGAAACGCGTCTTGTTGCTAGAAACAACCCTCGATTCTTTGTCCACTTATCTTTAAGAGATGCATTAATTTTAATTAAAACAAATAGTTCCAGTTTAATCGGTGGAAATTTTAAAGAACTTTAAAGAGGTGGGCCCTAGGTATAAAAATAATACAAAAAACCCTCTAGATAAATCTTAAAACATTGAATGGAACTTTAGATTTACAATGAAATGAGCAAATATCAAACATGCAAACCTTATATTTCTGATAGGTACAG